TCTCATAAAAAATTCTTTTTTATTATTGGTGCTTTTATTTAAACATTTATAGTGCCTGAATCATGAAACTCCAAATCTTCTTTACTTTAATGTGGTACTTACTCAGCTTTGACATTATGCTTCAGTGTTCAGGATAAAGACCTGGTCCCTGTGGTATATAGATTCAATCTCTATTAGTTCTTCTTTCACTTAAATAACAGTGCTCTGAGAAGGCCAGGCAGGATTATGTGGCTTAATACAGAATTTTGATGTTGCAGGACAATAGATATAGACTAGAAAATGTGTTTGCAAACAGCTGATAGTAAATTCACTTACTCTCTCTGGATTCTTTCTGCACACACACACACTTGAAAGCTGTGGGTACAATAAGTCTCCTTTAGCTGGCAGAGGGTGGAAATCCCTTTCCCTAGGGTCTGTTTAAGATTTTTGTTACTCGTGGCACTCAATGAGCTGAACACCTCCATTGTCATTCATAAAATAAGCTAGACTAAGAGTATATAGCTCCCATTATATATTCTAAATCATAGCAAATTATATTTGGTTATCTTTTTAAATTGCTAAACTAAGGACTGATACTATTTTTATTAGAGCCATGTCTCTTTCAGACACTCATATATTAATGGTGACAAATGTTGTATGCCTGAAAGTGCCAGGATTTTATCCGTGCTTTACTGGTAAAGTTAATCTTTTAAAGGTTATTTCAGCACTACAAGCAAAATTCGGCATTTCAGCTTTAATTTCTATTGATTTTTTTTCACTAAAGGTTTTGAGATAAATAATCTTTTTCTCACCTATAAAATCAGAGTGTAAACTCTTTGATTGCCATAGGAGTCTAAAGTGATTAAAGGTCATCACATTTTGGTTAGCCTTTATCAATATTTTTCTTATATGTGTCCACAAAGTCTTCATTTCCGTGCTCTTTTCCTCTGTACTGGGGTGGGGATAAAATTAGAGAGCAGTTCATTCACATGTGATAGGTGGCATGTGATAGTTTATTTATTTAATATAGTTATCTATTTATAGTTATCTATCCATTTTAAATCGTTTATGTTATTGGGGAATCCCCTTTCTTTTAAGTATATGAGAAATATATGGTGATAATAATCACAATTAGAACATCTGGGTATTGACTGCTACTCTGCTGCGCTGCAGAAGCAGAAAGCATTTCATTAATATTTATCCTCTGATGGTGCTACTCCATTAAATGAGGTTGTCTAGTCGTAGACCATTAGCACCATTGTGACTTCCACTCAGCCAGTCTGTCTGTCTATAAAGCCAAGTATAAAATCAGGGTAGATACAGATTCAGATAGGCAGAGGTGGCTGCAGGAAATAATTTGATTTTGAAAGGTTTTCCTGTTCATGCACAGAGCAAACTGTCATGATTTTGTGAACACTGTCCCTCATAATCAGATCTGAATCCATTTAGAAGAAGAATCCCACAAACAATAAGAAAAATACAATTTCCTTAGAAACAGAGATAGCATTTTCAAAGTTCATAATATAATTCTGCTTAACTTGGCTAGGTAGTCATAGACTTAGTGTTACATTGTGTAATAACATTGGCATAGCTTGCATTTGGGTTATATTTATGTTTTAATTACAGATTTTCACCAAGATAAATTTGCAGTAGGCTATGGAAGAGGTCTTATGAATTTCCCCATATCAGATTGTGTCTTGTAGTTATATGAGTATATTATATTAGATAGATTCCTTTAACTCATGTTTAACCCCTCAGCCCCTGTGTTCTCAGAGCTGCTTCTTGTGAGTCCTTTGCCATCTTAAGACCACCAAATCTGCTCTGATACTGATGTAAAGCATCAGAGCATTTCTTGTGTTCCTTTTCTTTTTGTGAACACTGAATCATACATAGTGGCCAGCTATATATTACCTTACTTCTTATGTGCCATGGGAGGTACAGCCATATCAGTTAAACTTATGTTTTATTTTGCAGGTTTTGTAGTAGCCCTCTGTAGTTACCAAATACAGAAAAAAAATTAGTTCATGGCCTTTCCCATTGTTTCTGGCCCCTATCACTGGGGATAGATCCTTCTAGCACACAAAATCCTGCTTTCTTTTGATGGAAATAGGGTGCATGATAAGTGGGTTGATACATATCTATATTTTGCCATAACATAAAAGCAGGATCTGGAAAAAGCATGCACTAAATTCCAAGAAGTACATTTAGGTCCCTCAGTTTAAAATTGACTTTTTGAACACAGAATCCCTGCAAAAGTCAGTTCACATGGTCTATAGCAAGAATAATACAAAGCATTCCATACTTCTGTGCAGACTAGAATTGATTTTTTTTTTTTTTTTTGTTCTGAGTCCATCTTCAGCCTTCCTGGGAAACATCGTGGTAGAAGGAGTGGCCAGCCTTGAGAGCTCCATGCATCTTTGTGGAAAGCTCTGGCTTTCCAGGTAGATCACTTGTCAAGAGAATGGAATCATGGCAAAGCATTGACTCTTTGGAGAGTTCTCTGTATTAATCCAGCCCTAAAAGGCTGAATTCTTTTTGCAAAACATTCCAGCCTTGGGAAGTTTCTGGCCATGAATCATTTTGTCTTGAGTTTGAGCAACTTTTTCCTCCAGCTCCTGAAGCTTGTTCTCAAAGCAAGGTGACAGGTTCCCTTTCCAGTATTTCACAGGCAGTAACAAATCTTGCCCCATTTCCCATATGACAGCACTATTACTTCTGAGGTTGTGCACTCCCAGACATCATTTTTCAGTCTGTGGTTTGGATGGCATGAGAGGCTGCAGAAAGAAAGGACAGGGGAGGGCATGGAGAAGGGACCCTTCAGGGCTTCCTTCAGGGAACCCCAGGCAGGTGGTGAGGAACCAACAAGCCAGACAACCCCTGGAGGTGGCCAAAATGACCTTCCAGAAGGGACAGGCAGCAATGGCTGCCCCTCAGGAGGTTGAAGGACCATTTTGTTGATTAAATGTCATCATCACAGCCCTGGTCACTCTCAATGTCTTTGACCAATTACAAATAATGAAATATATTTGCTGCCTGCCTGTCCACACCCCTGGCTATGTAGGCAGTGTATCCCAAAAGTATGTTTTACACAAGCAGTACTTAGTCTGTAATAACAAATAATAGATTGTTTTTTTTCCAAAAGTCTTTTTGGAAACAATTTGGAAAAGAAACAATTTGGAAAAGAAACAATTTGGAAAAGAAACAGTCTTTCTCAGATTCTTTTCCAAAAGTCATTCCCACTTTTTGCTGCTGCTGGCTTTTTTCTGCAGGCTTCAGGGAGTAAATCTTGTCACTGGATCTTGGGGAATCTCCACTGATTTTTTATATTTTTTTTTAAATTCAGTTTCCATCCTCCTCTTAAAGACCCTATTGCTTTTTGCAATTCCATCAGTTTTTTCTGCAATCTCTCCAGCAGGTCAGAAGAAGCAGTACACTGTTAAATGCTAGGACTTGATTTCAAGCAGTAAGTCTAGGGAAAAGAAACAGCTTGCAACTATTACAGTGTACAGTGAAATCCCTTAGGTGCTGGTCTCTTCCTTAGCTTGCAGAGCCTAAATAAAAATTTCCAGAGCATTCCAAAGTACAAAGTCACTGCCCATCTATGGGCCATGACAGAATCATGCTAACACCTGTATAAAACAAACCTTTGCTCTTTACATAATCTGCAGTGAAGATTTCCAAGATCTTTCCATCAGAGGAAGTCATGTAAGCTTAATCAGAAAAAAAAGCACCTATCACTCAAACAAGTAGGCTTTCTGTCAAAAGAAAATAGGTAGTTTCTGAAATGCATTAAAGCATGTCTAAAATCCACTATACCTGTTCAAAGTGAAGTTACAACATTTCAAGTAATCGGGAGAAGTCTTATATTTAAAGAAGTAGTTAGATGGTATATTAATTATAGTCTCCATCCATAAGATTACATGTACATTTTATCCTACTATTTCAATTTAAAGACATGCTCTTCACAGCTTCAAATTTTGGTAACAGACTGTAGAAAAAAATCAATACTTCCTCTTACTGTATCTTCTCAAATTATTCCACTGTTTGAAGCACAAGTTAAATGCAGCTATTTTTAATATTGATCATTGTTGCCTTCCTCCTGCTCCTTCCCTTAACAGAATCATAAAGTTGCTTCTGTGTGTTTGTTTTTTAATCTGGTTTTCTCAGCCATCTCCCTGTATCCCTACTGGGGGAATAGTGATCCTCCTGCTGCCCTGTGCTAATGTGATTTGTTACGCATGGCTGAAGTCGACTCCGAGTGTTTTATAAATACTGTTTGTTTTCTATAAAAAGTGCATGCATACTGCTGAGAAGGGGTTAAAAGTCCAACAGAATCTGACTGAAACTTAATCCTCTCCTGGTTATATCTCTTCTGTGAACTAGATTTCCTTCTGAACAGGCTGGAAGCACCCTTTGAATAACTTACACCTGCTCTAATATCACTGCAAGGTGTAATAAACCTGTATGGTGCCCTGTGGGTGTCACAGTTGGACTGTTAAGCACATGCCAAGGACATTCCTGCTCTGTTGGAGACAAATCCTGCTCCAAGGGAGCAAACCTAGCCTTAAGACAGCACATAAAATATTACAGATTCCTGGTTTATCAAGTAACTAATGACAGGGAATAAATGTTCTTCTTCCAAGTCATCCTCTCATGTAAAAGCATCATCCAAGACCTGCCTAGCAGAGCAGCACTCAGTTAAAGCACAGAAATTGATGTTTCTGGTCTCCATACTGGAGCAGCTGGTTTGCAGTGGTAATCCCCAGAGACATTAATTCTCAGGGATCTCTGTGAGACTCAGGAATTCTCAGCAGCTCCTGGGATCAACTGCCAGGAGATGAACAGGGGACTTTTGCACAGAGTATTTCTGCTTACAGAGTTTCAAAGGGAATTTCATGTATGACTACATTACAGCTACCTGGAAAGAGATTTTGAGCTCACCAGCAGCAAAGCAGCTGAACCATGCTAGAAGTTGATAGGCTTTAAAGAAAAAGTTAATTCCTATTTTCTTTTACCCACAGGTCTACCCACGGATAGCGCCGGCATTTTGGCACTACCTGCGGGTAGAAGTGAGTAGCGGGTATTTGAATACTCCCACCTCTTTATTTTGCAGCTTGGTAGTGTTTCCTGACCTCCTAGTTTGTCCATTGTGCAAAAATAATGAGCTTCCATTGTAGTTGCCATTCTTCTGTGAATGTAGTCTTGTAGTAATTCATGTTGGTTTGTGATTGGGTTGGTTGCTAACCCAAGTCACAAAAACACGTCTGTATGCAGGGTTAAAGACAAAAAAAACCTCAAGTCTAAAAGCCAAGGCCATATCATACATTCTGACTATAGCACAGAACTAATGTACAGAAATCCATACCTGCACCTCCTTTTATAAACACATTTTACATTCATGAGAAGAGTATGGAGCTTCTGTTCTGTTATATCATTTTTGCAAAGGTTGTTCAACTCAACTTGATATCATTTCTTCCCTCTTTTGTCCCTCAGGAGCATGAGCAGCTCAGCTATTCCTCCACAAGGTCCAAGGCTCCAAGTGTTATCATCACAGGTCTCAAGCCAGCCACCAAGTATATATTTCATATCAGAGTCAGGACGGCAGCAGGATACAGCGGCTATAGCCAGAAGTTTGAATTTGAAACTGGAGATGAAAGTAAGTTTCACTGAAGGGGGAAAAAAAAAAAAAGTACAACAGAAGTAGCATCTAATTCTAAACCAATGAGACATTGAGAGGTTGAATGGCTGAACCCATACCATTTGTTTATCACGAAATGACCAGTGCTATGTGATAAAAAAGCCTCAGACTCACAGTTCTGGATTTACAACACATAGAAATGTTAGCCCAATGCTGCAGCTGAGGGAATGTTCTCTTCCGTAAAATTTCCTTGTGGGTCCCTTCCAAGCTAAGATGTTCTAGGATTCTCTGATCCTTTCTTTCCTTACAGAAGTCTTGCCTCTTGACATCTAGAAATGCCCTTAGCCAGGCTTTCCATAAGTCCAGCAGCTTCACGCAAGCTCCCAGTGTTGGACTCTTCACCCTGTACTTGTCAGTGCTCCCAGACTCCACAAATAAAAAACTGAAAACTTTTATATGCATTTCCATCAACCAGTAAACCTACTAAATTGGGCACTAAGAAGCAAGAAGCCTTGCTATTCCTGCAAAAGATGCAAAAAGGGTTCATGTGTGAGGTTCACCTCTGAACGATTTTATATTTGTTATGTGTTGCCCTCTATGTTCAAAGAAACATAGAAAAAGGTATTTACATGTATTGGAGGGGAAATTAGTGTAGTACATACAACACTAAAACACTCATTAATTAAATTACTTTAATTAGCCAATTATGTATACCATGTTTTTCATTAGTGTTTTAGAATTCAAGTTGTTTAAGCTAATGTACAGACTCAAAACTATGTAAGTGCTTCCAAGAGCACCTAGGGATTTGTGTTCCATTTTTATTGCTTCTTAACTTCTATTTCAAAAATCAATCAGGGATAGATTTCCAAGTGCTTAATGCTTAATTGGACTTTTTAAAATTTGCTGGGTACTTAAGCCAATTGGTTTGAATAGGAGTTGAGCACTTGGGTGCTTTCAAGAATTTCAGTAGATCTTTTCTGTATCTTCTGGTGCAATAAATACATGGCTTAATTCATATAAAAAGAAAATAGGATTTAAACCTCTGTGAGATTTCACATTGTGAAAATCTAAATCAGGAAGACTGTGGCTCCAGTGACATTTCCCTCATTGGTATTGAGGGAATCTCCTGGGAGTCACATTCCCCTTACTCCGTCCTGGTCCCATCTCTCCTTCTCAGTGCACTGATACAGCTGGCCCTTGGGCTGCATGGTAAACTTAATTTTAACATCCTTTTTGAGTATAACATCAAAGCTGAACATGACACTGAAATAAACTGGAAAAATAAATCTGTTTATGATGCCATAAACAGACCTAACACAGTTTATCTCTCAATAATTCTGATTTCTTTTACTTCTGTGTCTAAACTAGTACATGGTTTCACATAGCTGAATAAATAGAATACAGCAATGGTTTTGTCAGTATTTCAAGATATTTCAAGATTTGCACAGAGAGATTTGGGACAGGTGTGTTGAGATTTGGGCTGCTTGGTTCTGTCAGTACCCATAAATGCTAATTTGCCCTTGCTAGCCTGCATCTGTCTTAAAAACCAGTCCTACTCCAGCTGTGTAGGAATCTCTCTTCATCATTTACTATTCTGGCAGTGTGAAGCTCAGCTGAAAATTTGCTGATTTTTTAATATTCATTTTTCTCAATTCTTCTGAAAGACAGCAAATAATATCAGGCCAAGGCAGACTATTGCAGCTCCCTCCATCCCTGCTCATTAAACACAAGTTACCTGGTGAAAATTCTGCTTTTGCAATTACTTTTTGTGGACTTTCAATTAGATTTGAATTAACTCAAAAGTAGCGTTTTCATGAGAAGGCTGGGAAGAATAGAGTGTTTTAAAAGTCTGTGTTGTGAACAGAAAATTTATCAACCAACACTCTCATGAAAATAACAAAAAATATTTTAAGTCATGTGTTTGATAAAAAATCCTCCTTAATTGGCCTTAGATTGAACATCTTCCAACTCTCTGCCAATTGAACATGTTACAGTGGAGAAGAATTAATTCCCAGACCAGTTGCAGGTAAACATCTAAGGTTATTCATTTACCCTGCTTGAATGTTGACAGAATTTGTTAATAGATGGTGCTAAAGCAAGCAATCAAAAATTGGGGTTTTTCTTTAATAGCCTAATTATAGAAAGTTAATGATTCATCAGCTGTGAGATGTGTATGTCAGTGTCCTAAAACACACTGTCCTTTGGCAGGACACCGTCCTGCCTTCTCTGATGTACTGGGTGAAACACTACCTGTGTCACTTCAGTTATAAAGTCATAAAGGATAAAATAGATACATCATCACCAGGAGCACTAAAACATTTTGGTGGGATTGCTAAAGGTGGTGCATGAGGGAGAGAGAAGACCAAAACTGCAGTGGTAGTGGAGGAAGTTAGTTATTAATGCTGGTGTGCTTTTTGGGAAGCACCACCCTCGCTTACTGAGCCACGGCCTCGGGAGCTCTGTTGTGAACTCTTCTCCCTGCTGCAAAAACAAACAAGTGCAGCATCCAAAAGAGTGAAATTTGTATTTTCTTTGTGGTAGGAAATGTAGTTACCCAGGAGAGTCAGAAAAATTCTCCTCAAGGAAGCAGGGATGGATGAATGGATGCTGACTGGCATTTCTCCCCCTTTTGAAGCCCAGAGGCTGCACCTGGGAAATGTGAAACCTTTCCAGGCACAGCAACCACCACTTGTGACTTTCTTTCTTGTTGCCATTTTATTCAGTCTCTCTTTCAGCACCTTACAGGCAAAACACTCATAGCAAAGCTGGCAGGTTTTCATACACTCCAGCACACACACAGCTGCCACTGCTGGGGCTTCAAAACGGAGCATAAACCTCACTTGTAGCTCCTGCTTTTATCTGTCAGAATTACCAGCTATATCTGAGTCACCACAGAAACACTCTGGTCCTTCCTAACAGAGAATAAAATGTGTTCTGACAATTAAGAAAAACATTTTTCCTAGGGCACAGTTGCTTTAATCTCTGACTGTTACCCTCTCTGGTTTTTTTTTTTCCCCTTCTCTTCTAACCAGCTGTTTTTGGAATACCTTTTTTGGTTGGTTGGTTTTGTTGGGTTCTTTTTTTAATTAATGATTCAAACTTTTTTTTTTTTTCCCTAAAGAAATTTTTTATTTACATTACCTCAGAGGTCCTTCTGCCCAGAGGAATTTGTAAAATATTAAACAATTTACAGCTTTTAGGCAGTTTTCATGTCAAAGCAGGGCATGTTCTAAAACCAAGGGTATTTTCCTTCTTGGCCTTCCCATCATTAGGAAAAAATAATCTGCAAGTGGAATGGTTGGCTTGTTCTGGAAGGGACCTAAGGGACAAAGTAGCATTTATGCACTGTGTACTTGTGCTTGGGCTGAATACAGTGATAAATGTGAGCACATGATGATGTTTAATCCAAAAGCAATGCAGACTTTGTATACTTTAAATTATTAACAACAAAACCCTAAACATTTCAGAAATGCTAATGCAATACCTGACTAGGAGCTTTATAAAGTTGAAGACTGTGAAGAAATAATTGGCTGAAACTGCAGTCTTGATGGATCAATATCTTTAATTTCTTTACCATAGTCTCAGACGGTGATTTTTGTGTATTGCCAGAAAATTCTGCTGAATTTTCACATTCTTCTCCCTCTTCCTACAGCCACAAAATCTATCCTTAACTTTTTATCCTCAAATCAGGCTATTTTTGGGTTTGTCACCAGATGTGACTCCATTCTTTCCAGAAGTCCAAAGCTCAAGAAAAGGGTCATGAATCATTGATTCCAGTGCAGGTCCACTGCTGGCTTAAGCACATGCCCTGGTTCATGCCATGACAGAGAAGCCATCCCAAGGATTTTTAGAAAATCTATTGCATTACCAATGCAAAATGGTGGCCTTTTGGTTTTTTTTACGATTTTTAATATTTTGACAATAGTAAGTTGAATTCTTTGTTGACACAAAACAAATCAGATGACACATATCTCATATTTAGAAACTTCTTGTTGGATCTCTCCCCACCTCTGTCTTCTCCTACTGTTTATTCAGTATTAGTCAGCACTGGATACCAAAGAATGCCTCATTTAGTCTTTAATTATTTCCTTGCTGTGTTTAATACTTTAGCCATTTGTTCTTCACATTTGATTTTGGTCTATCTGATTGCACCACTGTTTGTGTCCAGAAACCCAAAAAAGACTTCACTTTTCCTCTGCATTTCCTAAACAAGAGCAACATCCTCATTCAAATCTCAAACTGCCTGCACAGGCTTTCCATGTATCCACTGGCCAGGAAGTGGATTTTAAGGGAAAACACTTGGAAGAAAGCTTTTCAGGTGAATAGACACCAAAAAGTTTTACATTCTTATGCTAGTGATGGTCCCTTTTAAGTTCACCTTTTATTGTACTTGTGGGGTGCCCTCGTGGCAGGGAGAAATGATGAATCTGACTCCATGTTCTCAGAAAGCTAATTTATTATTTTATGATACTATATCATACTACAGAGTCCTAAACTATGCTAAAGAATACAGAAAGGATATTTACAGAAGGCTAAAGCGATAATAGTGAAACTCCTGACTCTCTTTTCAGAGTCCGACACAGCTTGGCCCTGATTGGCTGATAAGTCAAAACAATTCACATGAAATGAATGAAACAACCACTTGTTGGTAAACAATGTCCAAACACATTCCAAAGCAGCAAAACACAGGAGAAGCAAATCAGATAATTATTGTTTTCTTTTTTCTCTGAGGCTTCTCAGCTCCTCAGGAGAGGAATCCTGGGCGAAGGGATTTTTCCAGAAAATATGACTGTGACACACCTTTCCTTTGCTTTCTCATTCCCCCTTAGACTGGAGCCCATCAGCTCACCTTATCACAGGAACTGCACAGGAACTACATTTGCATTTATGAAAATGTAAATGTTGCCCTAATGAGGCTTTGTGTTTTTCTTGCCTACTGTTCTTAAGCAGTGTTGTTTACAATGCCTTGTAAATCCCCCTGACAGCCTGTTCCTGACTATTAGAGCTCCAGTGCTCACTGTCCACACTTATCTGTCTTACAGCTGCTCACTGTTATCAGTCTGGCTGTCTTTCTGTCACTTTTTTATCTTTCAGTCTGCTGGAGGGTCTGCTGCCTGATAGATGTCAAATTGAAGTTACCAAGGCATGTAGCTGAGGGACAGAAGTGAGCTGTCATTAGGGCTGCCAGCTCTTTTATACCAAACACACCAGTTTGTAAACTGTTTTGGGGAAATTTGCTCAAAGAAAGAGCTGAGCTGAAAGATTCTCTCTGGTTTTCAGCCTCTTGCACTGTGAATAAAACATCTGCACCATTTCTTCCAGTGTGCCCAGTGAGGAAAAGAGGAAGCCTCAGGGTATTTCCCTTCAGCCCAGAGGGGAGGGAAAGTGCAGCTCCTCCTCCATACATTTGGATGAAGAACCTAGAGAGAAGATGAGACAGGGCATGGATGTAAAAAGTGAATTGTAGGGGCAGAACTGACACCAGGCTGGATGCAGAAGGCATTTCTGGGCATGGTGTTGAGGAAGGAAACTGCAAAGATGCAATTAGAAACCAAGCATCATTTCAAGCCTATAGCATGAGTTAAGCATGAAGAGCAATGGCAGTGAGGAGTTTGTCTGGATAAAAATCTCCTGGGTGCATATATAATCCATGCTGCAGTTTTAAAATCACTTGGACTAATCACATCAGAAGCAGGTAAAATGTACTTGAAGAGTTTTGCCACCCAAACCTTGCAGTGTACTACTGAAACATCTTGGATAAGTCATAAATTCTTCCTTTTCCTTGTCTTAACTACTCATTTTAAGTGTTTTCTGTCCAAATGAACTCACTTAGCAGACAGGTAGACAGAATGAAAAATAGAACCAGACTAAGCAGCCAGCTCAGTTAGAGGGGTGCTAAGGTCCCTTAGCTCTGCTCATGGTTTATGATAAAGTTCAGGTGCCTGGACAGTGCAGAGACAACAAAATATTGATTTTAGCTATAGGAATTCTGGCCATGTTATCCAACACGAGATTCTGGAAAAAAATGCTGTGATTAGATGCAGCATTCTGATATGTACACACAAAGGGATGAAATGAGGTTGCAGGAACTTGCTTGACCTTGAATCCTGCCATAGTTGTTTTTTAAACTGAGTTTTTCTGTCTTGCATAATCAGGAAGTTCTGAGGAGAATCACAGGGTCGTAGACCAATATACACAGAAAAAATAAGGAAGGAAATCCAGGAAGTGACAAAAAATATTCAAGAATGTGCACAACAGAATCAAATAATTCTCTTAGTATTTACAACTTCACCATAAGAGAAAGCTGGAGAAATGAGAAAAGAGCAGAGAGGTTGAGAGACGCATAGAATTTAATTTAGAATGGTAAAATGCTGTAAAAATTCTAGGTATTGAGTGTCCCTGATTACTGTCTTCTCACTGCCTAAATAGTTTTTTGTGGAACCATTTACCTGTATGTGATAAATCTGTGTATAAATATTTCCATGATTTTGCTTTACCAGCCTCTCTGTCAGTTTTTAACAAATTCACATTTTCTAATTATTCTTGTCTGTCGTTTGACATTTTTATCTGACAGGTAAATTAAAGTCATCTGGAAGTTTCAGGCTTGAAAATCCCTTGTAGTGATTTAACTACATGAAAAAAAAATCCTAGTGTCTTCAACTCTGGCCTCTAAAATACAAACAAGAGAAACAGAATTATCACTTTTCAAGTAGGAATAGTCTCAGCTAAAAATCTGTATTGTTTACAGACAGAAAGGACATCAATCAGTCTGAATTTCTCCCCTTCATTAATGTGCATTTGGTTCCTCGTAGAAAAATGTATGTTATTAAATGGGTAGATTGGATTCTCTTTTAGCTAGAACACAAAAAAAAAAGAAAATAGCAGCTCCATCCAGAAATGATCCAGGATACATCTTCATCTTGGTAGCTGCAGGTACTTCTTTGGGCCATGGAATCAGTTCCTGTATTTGCACCAGGAAGGTTCCTTGGTTGCTGCCTTGGCAGTGAATTTCTGTTGAAAAAAAATCACAGTTAATTTGTCTTTTGACAAGTAAATTCTGTTGTTAATTTTGAGCTTGTGTTTTGCTTTCCTCCTACCAAATTCACTATTTTTGCACACATCTTCTTCCTATTAAAAACAAAATGAGAGCTGCAGTTTGTTCTCTCCACTGCAGAGGTGGGCAGGAAAGACTCCTCTGAAAACTTCTCCATGTACAACTTCAAACCATGCCTGACTTTAATAATCTTTGCCACACTTTTTAGCACAACTCCCACTCGTCTGAAAATTGTATGCAGCATTTGCATTGTTTCTTGTGTGGCATGATATTTCTTATGTTACATTTTTTCCAACTAAACCTGAGCCTGTGGAAGGTGATACAGAGCTGCAATCCACTGCCGTGACATCACTAAATATCTTTTAACTATTCAGTCAATATTTTCTCCATCATTTCTTGGAAGATGTGTATACTTAACTTGTCTGAATCCCCTGAAATTTACTGCCTGTGCATGCTTCCATCAAATTATTTGGACAGAAACCTAATGGCAGGAACCTAAAAAGTTGGTTTTGCTGAAAATTACTCTTACAAAGCCAGTTTACACCACAAGTTTTTAAGTCACACACAAATCTTGTTCAGAAGCCAAATGCTTTTCTAGGAAACAGTTTTATGAGGCTTTGGATAGCAATGTGTGCATTGCATTGAGCTTCATCAGCTGCAAAGTGAGAGAATACCACCTGCTGAGCTTTCTAGACAGCAGCCTGGGTGATTTCCCCAAGCCTTGATCACCTGGTGCCTAAAGAAAGCTGAAGATTTTGCTTATTGAACAGTTTGCAAGTTTAGCAAAACAAAGTTGCTTCCTATTTTCAGAAGTCATTACACTGAATTATTTATTCTTCTTTCAAAGCAATGTTTTATTTCCCATGGAAATAGTAAGAGTTGGGTAAATGTCATGTGATGTAAATGTTCAAGTGGAACTGAGTTTAACAAATAAAACTTTGGATTCAAAAGACAGGAGACAGAGAAAAAAAATGAGCCTAATTCTTTTTCTGCTCATGTTGTATTTGGATAGTGAGGACCACCTAGACTGTAAGTAGATAAATCCTCAATGTAAAAATTTAATATTATACACAATAAATAAACAAAATTAGGAAGTCTCCAACGACTGGATAATTTCAGGTGATCTTTTTTAACTCCTAAACATCCTACAAAAAGCAGAAAGAAAAACAAGAGGCCTAAGTTTTTTTTTTTTTTTTTTTGGTCAACTACAGTGTTGCTAATCACCAAAGCATGTTATGATAAACTATATGTATTTTGTGGCAATGAAACTGAGCACCAGACATGCTGAAGAATGTGTGAAGCTACACATGAGGTGTGGGGGTTTTGCTTTTGCTTCCTCCTGAACCCAGTTTAGTATCCTCACATACCCAGCACTGCTGCTGACTTCACTGGGACAGGGGGATGGAGAGAACTTCTGAATTAGGTGCAGGATTTAGATAAATAAAGCTAAGGAAGAAAATACAGTTTTGTGTCCAAAATCTTGTCATATTGAAACTTTAGTAAATTGCAAGTGTCTGATAGTGACAAATCCTCCTTTTAGAAACCTGCAAAATCATCTCCCCTCCATCCTAGCTGGGACATGGATTATGGGTTCTCACATTTGCATCTGATGCCTTTGCTAAACACTGAGGAAAACTTTTGAAATAAATTGTAACATTTGACCATTGAAATTATTTCAGCCATTCTGCAAAATCCCTGGGTGATGGATGGAGCATCAACCCCTTTTCTCTGTGCTTCTCTTTCAGCTTCTGATATGGCTGCAGAGCAGGGACAGATTCTTGTAATTGCCACTGCTGCTGTGGGTGGGTTCACTCTGCTGGTCATCCTCACTTTGTTCTTCCTCATCACTGGCAGGTAATTAAAATATTGTTCTCGTGTAGTCCCATATAAAATTAAGAACTTCAGAATAATATTCAAGTCATTAGACCATATTTCACAGCTAAAATTAGGGTTAGACAAAGTGGAATAATCCTCTTTGTTCAGCACTGGTCATACAGTTCTTTTCTAAGTGTGGTTTTTCATAAAGAAACTCTTTGGGGAGATAAGAAATTATGTGAAATCAAGAAGTAGTTTGGATATTTAGAAATAGGTTTCTGGACCTCTTGCCTGCAGAGTGATAATTTAAAAATGCAGTATACCTGCTGCACCCTCAAGGCTCTGACATTACATGGAAAAGAAAAAAAAATAAATAAAATGAGAAAAAAATCCCTACAGTATATTCTACAAAATCTCATAATTGTCAGTTGCAAAACTTTAGAGAGTGCACTTCTCAGATATCAACAGAGGGTGCTGCACTTTTAGATTTGTAATTACACATCTGTTTTCTTGGTACAGCATTACCTCTAATTTGAACAGAAAGTGAAGTTCTATCAGTGCAGGCCAGAGGTTTGTTTGCAATACCCCAGCAATACCCTAAATATGGCACTGCAGTAGCTGCCATTATGTGAATTAATGCTCTCTCTGCTAAATAATAAAACCAGTTAAATCTAACATTCTGGTGAAGGTAATGAGAGCAGTTTTCCTTGGAACATACTGTGGCCTTAGATAATCTTAGAGGCTGGGTAAATATTCCTGCAATTACTACAGAATGTGACAAGCAGTAGGATGTTTCAGAAGAGAGAGGAATTACTTAGACAGAGACAAATTTCCAGAGAAAATGATTGTGTGGAATCCATATGTGAAATCCTGAAACAGCTCAAACACTTCCTTTAGAAAAAAAAAAATCACTAAACTTGGGAATGAAAAAAAAAATATGGAAATGGGTTTCTTTCTGTGTTTCTTCCTCCTGTTTTCTACTGTTAAGAATATCAGAGATTCTCTTAGCTTTCTACTGCCTTACTCAATGGGACCATTTCAATTATGTAAGATAGGAAATCATTTTGAAGTGCTGCTTAAATGCAGTGATAAGAGCATGTTCCACAGAAGACAGAGCAAGAAAATTTTGAATAAATACTCAATTTACTCTAGGACTGGAGGCAAATTTCAGCATGAAAAATGGCAGTGGTACCCTACAGATGTGCTCTGCTTCACTGCTTAGAATTAACAATCTGATGAGCTGTCAAGTCTATCTGCTGATGAGCCTATTCAGAGTGGAGAGGCTGGGTGAAATGAGCACCTGCCTCTGCACTGTGCTGGGTCATTATTCACCAGGAGAAAGCAGGAAGCAGGGCTGTCGTTTTCAGGTAGGAATATGAAAGCAACAGAGGCTTCAAGACACAGGAGTGGGGTCTTGGCTCACTTTCAGGACATGGGATGTTAAAGCTCAGTCTGATTTAGCCTTATCTCTGGTTGTTCTGCAGCCAACATCAGCAGAGAATGAGGAGACTCCTCTGCTGGTGATTAATCACTGGCTTCTGTAGTCAAACTTGGGGGCCACATGGATGTTTAGGAGGGTTGGGTAAGGTTAAAGTCTTGTTTCTTTGCCTGTTCCCTTGGGCAAGCACTTGGAGTGTAAGAACTTTAGGGCTCTGGACAGGTGGCACCCTACAGAACAATTGTTCAGGTCCTAAAAGTGGCACTGGCATCCTTAGGGAGTCCCAGTAGCTGGTGTTCAATCTCAAGGTTTCCACAGAGTCTGAGAATCCACTGGGTTGCATTCCCCCACAAGGGCACACCAGCTTCAGGAGTTTCTGCCTTTATTTTCCTCCTCATCACATGAGTAGCAGTGAATGAACTTGAATGAACTTGTGCCTGTTCCTGCTGTGAGGTGGGTGTGTTCACCTGTTCCTCAAAGGTCTCCACTGTTAGTATGGATTTACTGACTGTAGTTATTTTTATTTCATTTTATAGTGCTGTTAATGTTCACACAGAGGACAGTCTTTTTTTTTTTTTTTCAAGCTGGTTTTGGAACTGCATGTCTGTACTCCAGAGCACACATCCACAGGCACTGCTGTTCTCCACAGGCATCAGAGCCTCAACAACCCTTTGCTGTCCCTTAAACCAAAAGATTTCCCTCCAAATAGGCTGCTCAGTGAGTGATAGCTTTAAGACCAAGAGCAAATATTTTGTTTTTTCTTGGCTGAAACGTTGGTCCTGCCATGTGACCCCCTAAATCAGCATTATCAGACCTGCAGGTAGGCAGTGTTCAGCAGCTCAGACTGCACAGAGCCACTCAGCAAAAGAGAAAAAAGGGGTCCTGGTGTGAGAAAAATATTTTCTTTTTTCATGAAACATGATGAAGTCATTATAATTCTATCATTAAGAAAATGAGAGAGTATTTTATCCACTGTGTATGAAATTTAATGGGATAAGGTTTAATTACCACAGGCCTATGCACGCAAACAGGAATGCAGGAAAATAATAATTAATTGAAGTATCAGAATTCTTTGGAGGAGTCAGAAAAAAGTATTACATCAAAGTTAAACTCAGGTAGTTATTGTCAAGCTAATCATTCAACCATGATCTGTTTTACTTTGTATATAATCCATTTGTAGTTCATCATGCATATTTCCTTCTTTAGATTCATAAGTAAATATATATTCCAAATCCATAGAACTTGGCTTTCATAAAATTGCAGATGAAACTCGGTGCACATCTGTTTTGTTCAAGGCAAGTATTTTATTTAAAACCTCACCTGTTTTTCTTGAAAGATGCCAGTGGTACATAAAGGCCAAAATGAAATCTGAGGAGAAAAGAAGGGCTCACTTGCAAAATGGACACCGTAAGTAGTGCAACACTGTATAGTATCTATATCATGTTTTAAATTAAGAAAGTCCACTGTTTCCTGAACAGCTTTTGCCCTTGATGTTTTAATCTGGTTATTTGAGTAGTTCCTTATTGTCTGCATCATCAACGGTCTTTATTTTTGTTTGCAATTTCACTAAATCTATTCTAGTTATTAAAGGGTTCTTTGGTATTCAGCTAATAATATTTAGCAGGTTTTCAGGTGTATTTCTTTGAATTCTCAGTTGTTCTGGGTACTGGATTTTTGCCTCAAAATTCCTCTGCTGGCAACTGTATGACTTATTTGTATCTAGTTCTCTTTGGATTTAGGGATCTACACTTCCAGCCACCCAAGAAATGAGAAGTGGAATGGGTTGTTCCTGCTCACTGATCAGTACAGTGAGAGAAAATCCTGGTGATCTCTCATGGGCAATAATTAGTTTATACAGCTTTGTTTAGTTGCCTACTTTAAATTAGTTGCCTTACTGTTTCCTGTTAGAGTTACAATGTAACTTTTTTTTATTCAAAGGGTATTGCACATATCAGATTTTATTCTTTCATCATTTTGATAACATCTCTGGAAGTGCTATGATCAACACAGAAGTTACCAGAAGTAAAATATTTTTTCAGGTGACACCACTATATCGAGCCAAGTGTCTCTTTCTGTCAAGGAAAAGGGCACATCTGCCCAAAAGTATACTGCCTAGAAAAGAAAGATGGTTTTGTCATTTGTTTCCAAGCATGGCCAGAAATAAAAAGACAAAAACCCTCCTCCTGGAGAGTTTGATATATGCCTCTGAGACCGTGACTGAATTTGAAAAAACCTCACTCAGTGTCTTTCAGGCCAGGGTAAATGATGACTGTATTTCATGTTGACACAAAGCTTCATCTCAGAGCCTTCCCATTCATTTGTAGTGATCTCAGCATCACACTGGAGGGGGCAAGTCTCTACTCATATACGTGCTCCACAGGACCAAGAATAAAGAGGAATTACTGTTTTAGACTCAGCTATTAACTGACAAGAGAAAGAAGGCTGAGAAATGCTTCATTCTTTTTAAAGGAATTCTCTGGACCCAGCTGCAGATACCTCTTTTTGTCCTGATAAATTGATGGATTATTAGCATCAGCTTCTGATGATGGATTGAAAGATTTCCAGACCTTAAAGAATTCCCACACAGATAGTCCAGAAGAAACAACACAAGTTCTTGAACATGCTATGCTCAGGAACACAAGGGATATCAGCCGTGCCAGAAAATGACAGCTTGTTGGAACCTGCCAAAGCAATCTGGCACCAACCCACCACTGCCATGGCCATCTCCAAGGAAACAGACAGAAATTATCTTGAAAATGGATTTGGATATTTTTGTTGTCATCTTGCACCTGGCTCTCTGGCTGTTCCAGCTGATCAGAAGAGAACAAAGCAGCACAGCCCTCCAGAACTCATCCTGAGAGAAAAGGAACTCAAAGATTTGACCTGTTTGGCAAAACAGGATGTTCAGCCATCCTCTCCTAAATGAAAGGAGTGAACTAGAAACAACTGTTTTCAAAGTAAAGGACAGATTGCCTCAATTGCCCAAGGGGCAGCAAAGGGGAAGATAAACTGCTTTGGCAATAATCACTGTTGTTTTGAGGCCATGCTTTTCCCCATGTCATTGAGCCCTCACTTGGTGCCTCTGCAGACCCTTTTTCAAGTGACCAGCTCTTCTGTTGGGTTCTGAAATTTTAAACCTGGAAGATGTAATATATTATTCTCAGTCCTTTCAATTGTTTAGTCAAAAAACAAACAAAAAAAAAAGCCATTGTTGCAATGCATGAATGTCAAGGAGTTCCTGATTCCTCTTATTCTCTCTTTCTTGCAGTACATTTCCCAGGACTCAAAACATACATAGATCCAGACACTTATGAAGATCCATCTCTTGCTGTCCATGAGTTTGCCAAGGAGATTGATCCTTCAAGAATTCGTATTGAAAGAGTCATTGGGGCAGGTAAAACTATCCCTACTGTAAAAAAATCCCTAGGCATGGCAATACTGCTTTTCATAAGCTTTAGGAAATTAATTTATTATCAGTTTTTTGTGTAGGATTGTTTTTTTGCCTGGCTTTTTGGGAATTTTTGTTTTGTTTTGTTTTATAGATGTATTCAAAACACTGTGTCACTTCAGCATGTGCCATAGTTATTGTCATGTATTCTCAGTCACTGAGGGTGAAATTAGATCAGAATCTCTTTCTGTGGGGATATAAGTTCTGAATGTAGAAGACTGAGAAAAAATTATTCTCAAATAGAAGACTGGAGGGAAGAAAAGGAGAGGCTGGCTTGGGATAGGCTTTTCTGTCTGGAGAAGGATCACTGGCAGAGAGGGAAATCGGGAAGATCTGTTGATAAGATGTAGAGAGTATGAAAGATGATGCCCTGTAATCCTTTTTTTTAATATTGTTTCATATATCTTAGTCCCTCTAGAAAGGAAGGGTATTTTTCAGTTTAAACCCCTCATTTAATGGTATGTTACTGCACTGATAACCATGGAAATATCCCCAGTCTTGCTAAGAAGTGTTTCATGCACTAGAAAATGTTGTGTAATAATCCTGCAGAAATAAAACCAGGTCTGCTAGCAGGTAGGAGAGAGAAAGTAAAAGAAAATTCTGTTTCACATTGCAGTGCATAGTGCTGGAGTACTCCAGTGCTTTACCTGGTTGCTTAGGCCACATCATCTGCAGCTGGAGCTGTGCACATCTGGAATTACGAGCTTGGGAGAGCCCCCAGAGGGCTGACCTCAGCAGAGAACATTCAGTTTGCTTTCTTCTATTTCTTCCCTTTCTTCAGGCACTGTATAGATATTGATGTCTTAGATTATAAAGCAGACTTAGCTACATCCCACATCTGTGTAACTGCTGATTTCAGTTTAATACAGAAGACAAGGATTATTTGTTTCAGTTCAAATTAAAATTGTGTCCTTAATCGCAGTTTAATTCATTTATGAAAACTCTTCTCTCAGCTTCTCTCTCTGCTTTCTTCTGTGCATGGAAGTGTATGCTTTGACATATTTTAATCGCAGTTTAATTCATTTATGAAAACTCTTCTCTCAGCTTCTCTCTCAGCTTCTCTCTGTGCATGGAAGTGTATGTTTGACATATTTTACTTTTATGGGTTTCATTTTTATGGTTTTTATTTTCTAAAATGACATGGGTAATTTTTCAACTTCAAAAATACTCACCTAACAGGACTTTCAAACAGGTTGCCATGAAATTTAAACCCATTTCCATGCATACAAGATACAGGTTAAATACCATGGCTAAGGCAGGGAGGGTAAAAATTCCCACACAGTTCTTCAGTAGCTGCTCAGGGACATAACAGCAGGATCATTCTCAGCAGTCCTAAAGGTTTCTGTGCATTCTCTCTAATTCTGTAGTACACACTTTAAATGGATATAAAATGGATTTCCTATCACAAGAAAATTACTTTTAAAAGATGCTAACAATTTTCACCAAAGTGAAACTAAAAATCAGCATCTTCTCTTTTAACAAGTCAGTTAATAGATTCACTTCTAAATTTGTTCTGTTTTAACATTTTATTTTGGCCATTAATTCTCATTTTTAATTTATGTAACTTTTTAATTTTTCAAAATTATTTCCATTCAAGAACCAAAAGATTTCATTCTGAAACTGCCAAAGTGAAAAATCACAAATACTCGAGAAAAAAGAAAATTCTAGCATTTCTGATCATGACATTTTTAAAACTGTTCTTCTCCTGGAAGCAGCTTCCAGTTTGTTTTTTTCACTTGAAAAAGTCATGTCCAAAAGTTCTTGATAATTCACTACTTGGAATTCTGATGGCTGTCACTCAAGGCAAGTATTTTTAGTTGGTTTCTTTTGTCAGCTTAACTCTAACCTAACTCTGTACCCAAGTTATAATTTAAAGTATTTGGTAATTATATCTCACCCATACACTTTTTTCTTCTCCATCTCTTCTTGCTGTTTGGCTTAAGGGTTCGGCCCCTCTTCAAGAAATGAATTCCCAGAGGTACTTTGTCAAGTCCATCCTAAAATTTACAATTATCCTTCTGTTTTCTCTGTTAAAATATTGAAACTTGAGGAAGAGACCAACTCTTCAGTTTTTCCCAGAGCAGGCAATATTCTCTGCATGATCTAAATCTCCTGAAAGTTCTCCCACAAGTGTAAAGACTGAAGTGAGTTGGGCTGTCTTTGGTGCTGTGACCTTTCAGTTCTCTCAGCAGCCACTGTCTGTGCTGTAAGACATTTGTTCTGATCCCATGCAGTAATACCAGGCTGCACTTCAGACTTTTAAGTGACTGACTGCTCCTGTTTCACTTTCAGTACCACAAATGCCCTGCTGAATGCAAAAAGGGATGTGTGGTTTTCACAGATTAAATTTCTAGACTGCTCAATTAGCTCCTTTTCGTATAATATACAGAAAGATGGGTGAGGTTTCTGTTGTTAAACCAGAGATTATTTACATTTTATTAAAACTGAACAGGCAGTGGACTCTATCTTTTTCTCTAGTTGTGATCAGCCTTTTCCCTGGAGCAAGGAAAAATGTTGACTTCATTGACACCTGGCTCTTAGCTTCAACTTATTACACATGCAGTCATGAACCTCAGCTGCTGCAGGGTCAACATTTATCCTGTTTATCTTTATCTCAAACAGTGAGAATGAGATTCTTAGATTTTAAAAACCCCTTTGACTGAATCCATTCCCCTTTGACTTTAAAAACATTGGAAATTCTTTATCTGAGCAGAAGTGTTGAAAAGATACTGTGGGATGAAATCTTGTCAAAGTCTCAGGGTAAATAATTCAATGCTTTAAATTATATCATTGATCTCCATCTAGTCTAAAACAGAAGTAGAAGTTATCATACACCTTAGGTTTCTGTCTGTTCTGAAGGTGATGAGCTCAAGTTTGGCATTATGTCACAAAAAACCTGCTGGTAGTCTTCATGTTCACCAGTTTATCAATCCCAATATCCAAGGGGATGGAAATTTCTTTCTAACTTTCCAAATCATGCATCCAAAAAAAAAAAGTAAAAGGAACAGGGGTTCCTTTCCCTGCTTTGGGTGTTGTGCAGGTAATAAATCTTGGAATTGCAAGTTGTTCAGCTGCCTCCTTCAGTTAAATTAATTTTAAAGCACTTGGTAACAGCCTTTTAGAATCCCTGAGGGATGAATGTCATTATTTATGAAATTCTGAAGCTGTAATATTCTTGTATAATCTTGTTGTAGCAAAATGATTTATTCTATAACCTATGCTTTCCAAATTAGTCTTAAAATGAGATTTTGCAAGTCTGCAGATTTATTGGCCACAAAATTTCTTTAAAAATCTGATATTAAGGCTCTAGTATTTTTGCTTTTTACTGCTTCATCAAGAGAAAGAATTGGAAAAATTTCTCATTTTAGGCATTTAAGCTAAAAAAAAAAACCAGCAAGATGCAATAAGGTCATGGCTTTAGAAAAGTGTTCTGGTCCTGCTGAACATGTCACAGAACAGAAGATTGATAGAACATGTCTCCTGCAAAACATTCAGGTTTCATCACTTTCTTTTATGGGAGCACTTTACAAGTCCAAATTATCTACTGCTTTTTCAGAGCAAGTAGTCAGGCAAGCAAACTTTTAAGGAGAGTCTTCTAAAGGTGAAAGGGACAAAATCATACAGGAAAATCCTCACACAACTTCCGCTTTTGTCAAAAGATTCCCAGAGCATCAGTCTAATGACATATATTTTCATATATCTTATATTTGCACACATCTTTAATTTATTTTTTTAATTAAGTAGAAATAAATTGGTGGGAGGAACTGTACAAAGAAGACCTGGAACCACTTGATTTTTTTAGCTGTTTAGGAAGCTGCTAGTTTAATCAGAGGTTATGTTCAGCATGTGTTAATTGTACTCTTGCACTTGATGATGCCTCTGTCATTGAAGTGAAAGACAAGATTTGAAATTGTTATTTTAATCTCACTCTTCCTGGATCTAAAGATAATAAAACTTTGCTTTGTTTTAATGGAAGCAACAGAACCTAATAAAATAAAAGTCTTGTGACAATATCCATTCTAATCCTGCAATATCAGGGAGTTATAATTTTCTGAAGTGAAGGTTGTGCCTTTAAAGCATCTTTCTTCTAGATTTGCTTCATATCTGAAGATGCGCTCTTACAGAATAGAGCTCCTTTATTTTGTTTATTTCTGTCCTTAAAATGTAGGGAAAACTAATACAAACAGCACTCAGTGGAGTGTTAAATCCTCAGTTAAATATTATCTGTTCATTACTTGCTTTTTGGTTTTTAGCAGTTCTGATTCCAAAATGACTGGGGTAAAAAATTTAGATTTTCTGTGAAAGCAACCTGCACTGAGAAATGCTTTGAAATATTTCTCTGAACATTGTTTTCATTTACTGAATTATAACCCATTGAAAACTGCAGTCATCCAAGAGTATGTTTGCTAGGGGCTCTAAATAACTTCTGGGTGACTTCAAGATCAAAGGAAAGTTGTGATTTCCATACAAACTGAATTATTGAATGTGTAAGGAGAATGCAGGGAAACACACATCCTTCACAGGCCCTAGACAGACAGGGAAACATCAGGGGAAACAAGTTTTGGGATTCCTCTCACTGCACAACCCCAGATTTGTTGGGACTGCTGGCCTTTGGCTGTGTGAGCAGGGAAATGTGTAATTAATTTCAAGTGGGTGTGGAAGTCCTTTTAAATAAATCATGTGCAAGTGCTTTTCTAGGTCATAACAGCATAAAGTGCTTTTAAAATGCTTTCTGCAGCTGAAGGATAGTCAAGTGTTCTGATAGTCTCAGGGCTTTTCTTAACATACAGGTCTTAGTGCATTTCACCCCCAGAGATAAATATTTCTATCAACAGATATTTTGTCATCAGTGGAATAAAAATCCAAGTGCCATTGCATTCCTTCCTCAGTTATGTATCCCAAACCTGTTGATAGCAATGTTCAGTCTCAGTGGGGAGGGCTGAAGGTTTGCCTTTTGCAGGTACAAGGTGCCATGATCTCTGCTGTGGCACAGAGGAAAGGTGATCATGTCCTGTGAATGCTGCTGAATATCTGGATTTTCTGGGATGTGATGACACTAATAAATCTGAATATTCAATCAGTTATTTCTCTGTCCACTTCTATGGGATGTGTGAGTTCCTTGAATATTCTTCTGTACTGTGAGTTACTAACAGATATTTTATCAATTTCAGGGGAGTTTGGAGAAGTTTGCAGTGGACGTCTGAAGACACCAGGAAAAAGAGAGATCCCTGTTGCCATAAAAACTCTAAAGGGTGGCTATATGGACAGGCAGAGGAGAGATTTCCTGAGGGAGGCGAGTATTATGGGACAGTTTGATCACCCAAATATCATTCGCCTTGAAGGAGTTGTTACAAAAAGTAAGTCACTAATATCTTTCCTTAATTGTTTTATGCTGGCTTTCCCATTCTGTCTCACCTAGTATTGAAATTAACATTATTTTCTCATTCAGTATGGGTTACAGTTCTCAGAAATCTTCCAGATCATTGACAAATGATACTGCAAAGTTTGAGCACATAATAGGAAATGCCTGTCTGTTTTCAATGTGAAATGTTTTATATTTATTTTTCAATAACAATTACCCTAATTCAAGAGAAGTTTCTACAGGTTCTTATGAAATAGAATGGAGAGTTTGCTTGGCAAGTGGAGAAAACCACAAATGTAACTGAGCTGACAATGAAGTCAAGTTATCTTGTAAAATATCTTATTTCTGCAAAAGTGCTTATTATTTATTTGATTGAGATTTACTGGTTTTGGTACCAGAAGAGATGAATTTCCTGTTTTGAAGAAATAAAAAGTAAACTCTGTGTAGCTTGTTGTATACTGCAAAGATTGACTAAAATTCCAGAATAATCTTTGAAATGTTTTACTCCTTATAATTGTTGCAGCTGCCAAGAGAAATACCTTGCCTCTGAAATCCAGCAGGTTTAGTGGTGTTATGGACTTTTCTGAAAGGCTGAAACATCTAGTTATCACTTAACTATTGAGAAGTCTAATTAACATGCATGTAATTTCCTCAATGGCACCTTTTTTCAGTAATTAATTAAATAGTTTATGGTATATTCTTTTCAAAATCAATCATTGTCTCAACCAAGCCATGTTGTTTGTTAATTCGCAGAACTTCTATTTTTCATTTAAAGGGAAGCATTGTCTGTATAATGCAGTGTCCTCTTACCATCACAGTAAACACAACAAATATGTTATGAATATTTCCTGTTTTCACCTCATTACAACATCCAAAGCTATGTTTGGAAAATCAAGAACAAAAAGGAAAGTTTAGCTCCAGAACTCATGTTGTTGGAATGCAATTTCAGTAGGTGTGTGGAATGACTTGACCATGTTCAAATCTGTCTCTTGGTGGTTCTAAATTATGATCTTTTTCTTTCCTCACACAGTATTGAAGGATAAATTTGGGGGTTTTTTAGGTATGTTTGGTTAGTAGACTAACAAAACCCATTGCATTGCAGGAAAGACAGAGCTTAGTCTCTCAAATCCTCTCCTGTCAGTAACAGCCCTGTGACAACAAACAGGAACACAAGTAAATGCTGGCTGAGCGGCACTGGAGATCTTGTCAAGGGGTGTAAATGTGTAGGAACTTAAATGAATTTAGCTCTTGCTTCACACTGAGCATGTCAGCAATTAAATTCTACCAGGCTTCACCAGCAGGGGTGGTTTATTAATCAGTATCACAGGTCTGGTTAGGATCCACATGGTGGATCTTGTGGGGTGTGTCTTGTCTAAAAAAGGCAAAATGTTGTGGCTTAGGAGCATTGTTTACATCTAATTAAATGGTGCATAGAGAGAACAGTATAATAATGATGTCCTTGGCAATGGCATGATTGTTTAATCTTTACCACATTTGTAAGTTTTCTTTCTGTAATGCCTCATCATCAGTCTAGAGAGAAAGCAAGGTGGCATTCAGAAAAGAGAAAACAAACTGATAAATCTCTGCTCCAATGTTAGAGTATTAGGTGTTCTACAGGAAAGATTATCAAGAACTGTAAGCCAAAATGTTATCAGTAGCAGTTCTGCTTTTCACCAAGGAGTCAACAAACTTCATTAATATTTTGTAATATTTGTTTGAAGGTAGTATAAAAATAGCAGGTGTTATTATAGTCACACTGTTGTCTAAAAAATACACATCTCTCAGATACAAAATAAATGGTGGAACTTTGAAAGAATGTACTTTGGTGTCAGGAAGGAATAAAAAAAAAATTATGCAGCCATAATTATGAAATGAAAATGGGCTATGTGAATTAGGAGCAGAGTTCACCCCCAGGCACAGAAAGTGCAAGTTACATAAATTGAAGGGACAGGGGTGTGCAGCACTGCTCTGCCGCAGGGAAGGAGCCTGAAGCAGGCTGAGCCATGGACGCAGGTACTCTGCTCTTCCCATTTTGTCTTTAGTGTTGCCTTGCATTTATACTGCCCCATCTGGAGTATTTAGAGAATAACACGACTTCAGCTTGGAGGAGAGCAGTTGCCTTGCCAAAGTACTAAGTCTAGGATTGCAGAATCCAAATTTTACATACTGAAAGGTGTGCTGTAAAAGTCAGACAAAACTTTGTCCTAGCCAAGTTATTTATGTAGTGATAGCATGAATAACAGGTGTTTTGTGCTAAGGCCTAGATTAATAACAACAGAAACTATTTATCTGATGTGCACTGCAGTTCCACTAAGCTATAAAGGCACATCAGATGCAGTACATTTGATTAATAGATGTGTAGTGCTGTTCTTAGCACATGCTTTCCTCTGTGTAACCATTAGTCATTAACTTCTAGCTCTTGCTGATAGATATTGCATCAGTTTGTAAGCAGTGCCTTCCATTACAGTGTCATTGACTATTGAACAAAAAAGAAAAAGGATTTGGTTGTAATAAGCAGAAGTGCTGTACCAAGTCAATAGCTATTGACTGGGGCAATAACAAATTTGCCTGCTCACTGCAAATGAGGGCTTTTATCTGGTGCTACCAGCTAAGCAAATGTTAACTTTTAAATTATACTGTTTTCAAAATTGCTGTGGAATATGTACTGTACAGGAGGAAAGAAATGCTAAACTAAGCCTGCTCAAAAGTAGCTCTGAAACAGAGTTTTAATTCCCTTTTCTTATGGCTTCATTTCTCATTTGTCCTAGCAACCCCTAATCACAGAGAGCAGTAAGCAGAATAGTTGCTGTAGCACAAGCTTTCTGTTAGCAGGGAGTTCATTTCAAGGGCAATTTGCTGGGCCAAAGCAAACACAGCATGGCACAGAATTTGGGTCCACTCGTATTCCTAACCAGAACTCACAGGGGAAACTTTATTCTTGCTTGGTTTTGTTACAGCAACACCATTCCTTGCATGGTTTGCCACAAAAGACTGCTTGATTGCCTCACAAATTTATCATAGATGCTTGGGCACTTTATAAAAACATCCATGTTTCCTTTCAAGCCGTGTTAGCACAGTGATGATTTTGGGAGCTCTTTTGGGTGTGCCAGGGCATGCTCAGGTGATTTTTATGTCTGTTGCCAAGCTGCTGCTATTTCACTAACAGGTATAAGAACAATAATTTCCTTCTCCAGTGCAAACACATGTGACCGACTGAAATCTGGGCTCTAAAGGAGTAAGATATGTCTTCATTTCTACATCATGTTGAAGACTTTCCATGAAAAGTCTGTAAATTAAATTAAAGCTGTGCCTACAGAATAAAATCAGGCTGCTTAACTATATCTACAAAAGGCATGGAAAAGAGTCCCTGACTATTGTAACTTTACTGGAAGAAATCCAGACTGGAATCTTTACTTAGTTTTGCTCTACAGTGTCTTACACAATAGTTTAAAGCAAAACCTAATTGGTACTATGTAATACCGGCTCAGTAAAAAATATCAGTGCATGCAAGAGCTTTATTACATTCATAATCTGTTTGTTCCTCTTCCCCACAAACTTTACCCTAAATAACTTCAAATTCTTAGAAATCAGTTGTAAGGAATTGCTTCCGTTCCAAATTTTGACTGCTGAAGGTTTCATACCCATCACATGTACAAGAGGAATCTTTTTAAAGCATTCATTTTCTTTAACAGCATTATGTACATTTGTATTCTCCAGAAGGATTTTCCAAATAGTCCCTTCACAAAAGGAGGATAAATGAAGACAGCACCTAGAGCTCTGGTTTTGTGTAAACTCACATCCTTGGACATCGAGCCTGGCTTTGGAATGACACTTATGACTCCCTTATTGTCTCCTCACTGTTTTGATTTCATGGCTTTCAAATTGTGAAGAGTATTGCAGTTCTGAAATCTTCAGACACTCATTTGCAGATCAATTTAAAGCTTTAATCATTGAGTTTCTTTTCAAATTACTGCATATAACCCATTCCGTGCAACAAAAGCCCTAAAATTAGTGTACCTTATCTTGTCCATGAGGGAAGCAGAGCAGCAACATGATCCTCTTTCACTGGAATTTACCATATGAAGCTCTTAATATCTGACCTTTTTTTTCTTTTTCTTTTTTTTTTTTTTAAGATTTTTTCAAAAATTCAGGACATAGTGACTTCTTCTTTTTTCAGCCAAGACATTGTGCTCTAGGCCTTTGAGCCATTATTGTAATGAATTTACTGTTGCCCTTTTCTCCCACCTGTTAAATGACGTTCAGAATCCATTTCAGATGGTGACGTATTTTGCAGTACATGTGTTTCTTGCACACATAATGTTGTATATTTTGTTGCTACACGAAAGGATTGAGTCCCTTTTGTGGCAATATTAACCGTATTCTTACCTTGGTCATGGATGGTGAAATTGTACTCCCAGGAAGCATGATTCTGCAAAGTTTAAATGTTGTTTATGGACAATCCACTGTGGTGGTGAGACTGTATGCGTGTCATATCAGTGGACTTTACATGGCAATGAGCATAAAGCTGAATTTTTCTGATAAAATGTCATTGTAGTTGTGCACATAATGACAGACAAAACAGCAGGATCTCAGCTGCGTTATAAATTGTTCAGTAAGTGGAACTGTAAATTTAAATTTGGCTCACTCCCTCTATTATCCCTTCTATCCTTATTCATAAATAAATACTGCAACACATCACTGAATCCAGGGGTGGCGTGGCCATCAAATTAACACAAAACCCACAGCCACCAACCACCTGCTTTGTTAGCCAAATCTGTGAGCTCAGTTTACTGAAGTATCATCCAAAATACAGAGCTGAAAGAGCTGTGCATATAACACAGACAACACCAAGTATCTGTAGCCTTCTTGCAAAATAGGTTACCCTTCCAGACTGGTACTGGAAGAAATGTAATTAGTGTTGATAGTCCTGAGCTATTTTTACACATGCATGCATCCGTGTGGGCATTTCAATTTACACATGCAAACCACCGTGCA